TTGACCTTGGCATGGGCATCAAGAAGTCACTGGGGTCACCCACTAAGAATGTCACTGAAACTCTAGAGTCCTGGCTGGTGGGGGCAGGGAAGAGGTTCAGGGGAGAGGGAGGCTCTGAGCACATTTCACAAGGGTCCCTTCAGGCAGTGTTCTTCAGAGCTGCTACTGAGGTCCCTCTGAGTCCCCTGCCCCCCACCCCAATCCAGCTCTCCTTTCCCAGCTCTTTTTTTCTTGTTTAGAAAAAAAAAAAAGAAAAAAAAAAAAGAAAAAAAAGGAAGAAAGTAGAGAGAGAGAGAGAGAGAAAACAACCCAACAACAAAGTCTGTCCCACTGCAGTGAGGTAATTGAAAACAAACTTCTTCCCCACCCCCCCACCCCCCCACCTCAGTGCTCCAGTGCAGAGAAGGGAAGAGCTGCCTGGGACCCAGCACTGGCCATGATCAGGATGCCTGCTCGGGACACAGGCTGGAGGCACTGGAACTGGACTGGCAGAGTGCCCTCCCTTTCCAGGGGCACCAGGAAGGAGGAGGGACAAGTCTCGGATGCCACTCCAGGGGGAGACCTCACCTTCCAGGTCTGGCCCACCCCTGGCCTCTCCCACTTTGAAACAATAAATAAATAACAAAAGCAGCTTCTCCAGTGATTTAATTGGTGGTGGTTATAGGGCACCCAAGCCTTGGGGACCACATGACTGTCCCCCAGGAAAATCATGAAGTAGGGCAGTCCCCAGTCCTGGGTGAGAGCTGCCTGCTCTGAGCCTGTTCTCCCCAGCAGCCCTTGGAGAGGGATGAGGGGACGCCCTCCGGGAGGGTCCAGGCATATCCCCAGGTATCCTGCCCAGTAAGTCCCAACCCAGGCCAGAAGGAAGAAAGGAGGGAGAGCCCTCACCGCCAAGCCACCCCCACCTCACCGCCGGAAAACCCAACACCCGAAACCCCAAAGGAGGGAGAATGCCGGGTGTCTTCATGGGGAAGAATTTCACAAATAGGGACGCTCGGCTGTCCATCGCTTTGAATCGAAGCATTCCCGCTGAGTCACCCTAGAAGCCTCTGGTGTTGAAACTGGTCCGGTGCCTCGTGCTGATTAATGAATTACAAATCCCCCACCCATGTGCATTCTCCCTGGTCAGTGGAGGAAGAATGAAGAACCTTGTGAACTTGAGGGAAAAAGTCCCGCCAAGTGCCCTCTTCTCGCCTCTGGCCCGGGCAGTGGGCCTGCGGTGCCCTCTTCCTCCCCCGCAGGGGGCATTGTGAGCTGGTTAGTCACCTGCCCCAGCCCCAGCGCCTCGCTTAGCTCTAGCTTTTGGAAATGGGACAGGCGGCGGGACAATAGGCAAGGGGGGCGGTCAGCCCAGACAAAGGGCAGCAGGAAAAACACCATCACTTGCTCCCAGGCCAGCTCGCTGGCATTTGCGAGAATGTGTCATTGCATTTACTCAAGGGGGAGGAGGAGGGAAGATTGGAGATGAGGAAGCAGAGGTAGGGTGGGACCAGGGACCCCTGCACCGGGCAGGGGGCAGGGGGCAGGAGGCGGCGTCCCCAGGCCGACGACGCTGGGGGAGAAGCCCACCCGAAGCCAGCGCTATCCCCAGGCTCCCGGGAGTCCTCAGACGGACTGATGCCCTCCCCAGCCCCTCCCCGAGGAGGCCCAGGGTGGTACCGCCACAGCCTCGCCTCACCTCACCCCCCCTCGGTGCTGTGGGAGGGAGAGGGAGCCCCAGAAGCCCTCCCTTTCCTCCTCCCCCCTCCTACCCCCACCCCGGGGAGGGCCGCTACAATTTGTGGTTACAGCTTTACACGTCAGAAAAAAAAAAAAAAGTTTGCAGAATGTCCCACACCGAAAAAAAAATCAGAAACCGAGCGAAAAAAACCTGCGAGTGGGCCTGGCGGATGGGATTATTAAAGCTTCGCCGGAGCCGCGGCTCGCCCTCCCACTCCGCCAGCCTCCGGGAGAGGAGCCGCACCCGGCCGGCCCGGCCCCAGCCCCATGGACCTCCGAGCAGGTAGGAGCCAGGCGGCCGAGGTCCCGGCCCCCGCCCCGCCGAGCAGCCACGAGATCCGGTTCCCGTCCTGCCCCGACCCTCAGGAGCCCCGCGTCGGGGCCGGGCCGGGGAGCTGGGCTCGGGCCGGGGGAGGCACGGCTGGGCGCCCTTGAGAGGGGCCAGGCGGGGACGCGGCATTCCTGGAGTCCGCACGGCGGGGCCAGGAGGTGGCCGGCAGCGGCGGGGAGCCGGAACGCTCGCAGACCTGGGGAGGCGGCAACCTGGAGCCCTAGCGAGGCGGGTCCCGGGAGCCGCAGCCCAGAGCCCCGCGCAAAAGTCAGGGCCAGCGAGTCCGAGCTGGGGAGCGAGGCTGCGGGTGGGAGGAGGGGGCTGGGAGAGGAAGAGGGAGGGAGGCCGGGGGAGCCCGAGGCCGGGCGGCGGGAGGCGAGGGGAGGCCGACACCTCGGGCCGCGCCGCTCTCCCTCCCCCGCCCGCCGGGAGGGGTAGGAGGGCGGGCGGGAGGAAGGGCGGGCGGGAGGGAGGAGAGGAGGGCGGAGGGCAGCGCCGAGCCTGGCTGGGCCGGGCCGGACGGGCCGGGCGGGCCGGGCCACGCCGCGGGACTCGCGGCTTCCTCGCTGGGTGCCGCGCGGCCGGAACCCTCCATGGTGCCCACGGCCGGGGAGCCGGCGGCAGGTAGGGGCAGTGGGCGACGGCCGCGAGCTCCCTGGGCCACCGTGGCCTGGGAGTGATTATTGTTGGGGGGGGTGGGCACAGCCGGGCTGGACCCGCAGGAAAAAGTCCGTCACCGGCCAGGGAGCGGTGGGAGCAGCCGCTTGGCCCGGGCGGGAGGGAAGTTGACGCGGGAAAGGGCAACGCCGGGCAGAGCCCAGAGCCCGGTGCCCCGGACCCCGCCCCTGCCCCCGCCGCCGGGAAGGAGCGACCAGGCGGGAGCGGGAGGGGGCGGGGCCGGGGGCGCCTGGGCCACACAGGGGGAAGGCACAGCGCCGGGAGGGGTCCCGGAGCGAGAGGTCACCGCCGGGAGGGAGGGCCAGCTGGTCGCCGCCGTGCAGCTTCCCGAGCCGCTCGAAGGAAACCTTCGAAGGAGTCCCTGGGGCTCGCCAGAGTCCCCTCGTGCCTGCTCTCCCCACCTGCTTTCCTTTCCACAACTCCATGCAGGACTCCTGGAGCCCTCCCTACAGACCGCCCCCCCAATCCCAGACGACCCCCTGTTCCCCCAGGTCCCAGCCTGGTCCTCCTCCCGGGGTGGGAGGGGCTGCCAGGAGACTGGGGATGGGGAAGGGGAGAGAGGTGAGCTGGTGCAGGCAAAGCCCTGGAGAAAGACTGGGGGTCGGGGGCATCGGGCACGATGCTCTGCCAGGTCCTCCTCCTCTGACCTTGACCTAGGGACGCCTCTGTGCTTTCACTGCCCCCGACTGACCTTTGCCACTGCTTGGGAGCACATGCTGCCCATCTCACCCGATGGGACGTATTCCATTCCCCTAACAGACCAGATGAGCTCCCGGCCAGTTCAGACACCCTCCCTGACCTGGAGCCACACACCCCACCAGGGGAAGAAGCAGAGATGGCAGTTGTCACCAGGCAGCCCCAGAAGTGACACTCCTGATAGGTGTGATGGCTCCCTGTCCCCTTCATTCACAGACCCACATTCCCGTCCATCACACTTCTGCACGACACCCCTGCACACCAGCTCCTGGCTCACTGACACTTCACATTCCTCCCCATGGCCCGCCTCTGGTGCACACCTGGCTCCTGCACTCTCTCCCAGCCCCTCCCTCACCCTCTTATTCAACCTACCCCTCCAACTCACCCACCACTGCCCTGGACTCCTCCTTCACTGCTCCCCCTGCTTCTGGCTCTCAGTGGGCTGCAGGGATCCCCACCCCTCCTGGCCTCCCTGAGCACACCCAGGGCCCTCTTGCCGCACAATCAGGAACCCTCTCCCTCCAGCCAAAGCCCAACTCTTGTCTGGCTTGCTTGGTTACTGACTTCACAAGGCAGGGGGGCTGGCCCACCCTCAGCTTCTTCCCCTGGGCCTCAGTGTCTTCTTCTGTAATTTAGGCTGGAAGAGAAGGGCAGGGATGGGGATGCTGAGAGGATAGCAGAGATGAAGCCCCGCGTGTTTCAGCTGGGAGGAATTGAGCATGCAAGTGTGACCTCCTTGTGCAAGCCTACAGTCACCAGAGGGGTTGGTGGCCAAGCTAGGTCTCCCAATTCCCAGGCCCATGTGTCCCCACTCACCAAGCCACTTCTCAGCAGCCTGGGGGAAAGGGAACCAAGGAAAAGTCAGAAGGGAGAGAAGAAAGAGAGGGGAAGGCAGCAGCCCAGAGGGTGGAAGGAGGATGGGTTTCTGTGGGCCTTTCCCTGGGAAGGCAGGTCAGGAGATGCTCTAGGGCAGCTTCCTATAGTCAATGTCTGGACCTCACCCACTCCATCCCTCACCCACGCCATCCCTCAGTTCCCCTCAACAGACCTCTCCAGTGGCAGCCAGTACTGTTTCTGGTCCTGGTCTGGGCTTTCCTCTGGCTCCTGATTCAGCCAGCCTGCGGCCACCATGCCACACCTCTGGAGCTCCGCAGTGCCTCCCTGGCTGCAACATTTAGGGCTTGCAGCTCTTAGCCCAGCTCTTACAGTCAAAGGTCCAGAGACTCCTGTTGACTGGTCCTACCACCCTAACCACACCCTGGCACATCTGCACAGCTGAACCCTCACTGGGAAAGGTCAGCTTGGGGGGGTCTAGCCCACTGACTGAGGGGCAAATGGCTAAAGACATGTGCATACAGGTGCGCCTGCCTATGCAGCTGTGTCTGGGTAGCCAGGCGCTTGCTAGGGCAAAGACAGAGAGAGAGAGAGAGAGAGAGAGAGAGAGAGAGAGAGAGAGAGAGA